GTTGAGGAACCCTACAAATACCGGTATTCAGCTCTTTGCGAGCAACTGACAGCACACACGCGTATAGCCAGGAAATGCAAGGCAAACGCTTTTTTGCAAGGAGAAACTGATACTGTAGCAATGACGGCCATAAGACGGTCTTCTTCCTACCTCAAAGAAGCAGCTCACTCAGAACTTGTGACTTTTTGCATTGTATAAGCAAAGGCACAGACAGACTAATTTTTGACAAAACCACAATGAAAGATCGCCGAGCGACCACTGCTTCATCATTTCTGAGTGTCTAGTCCTCAGTGATGCCTCACTTAAAACCCGAACTTTCAGGAATCGAAGCTCAGTTGGTCTTCGGCTTATTGCTTTCGACGTGTTGCTTCCTCCTTGCATTCGCATAAATTGTAGCAGCAACAATAGCGATCAGACCGCCGACACCAATTACCGTCAGTGCTTGGCTGTCATCCTGAAATACATTTCTATTTAGATTTAGTTCAATCTTTTTCCCGAATTTTTTCTCTTAAAACACATCATATTCTTCTATATCATAGCACTTTGCGGATCCACTGCATTTTTTTTTTATTACAGACATGGAGAGGAAGCAAACCAAAATATCAGCAGCGCGTTCCTTCACGTGCTCATAGAAATTCTCGAGTGCAGTTGGTGGTTCGGGCACACGATGTCCACGAAGTTCTTTGAACTTGTGCATTGCAAATGCACTGAGGCTCTTGATGTCCTTGGCTGCATCTTTGTACCGATACATCTTCCCTCGATGAAATCTACAACAACGGAGCACAGTAGCGAATTCATTAGCCAGAACAGCAAGCATCTGTTCTTGTCAGAGCTATGTAATAATAATTGACCAACGCACGGGCAGCCCGTGCGAAGATGCGTTTTTTGCATAGTTCACCGCAGTTTTTGTTGCTACCGGCACCGGCTTTTGCGGCGAATGCTTCTAGCTAAATAAATTAAGACTGGCCGCCAGAACTGTCAGAAAACACCACCCTGAAATTTCAGCTTTCCAGCTTCCCTGGCTCCTGAA